AGTGAAAAAAAGATGTTTGATAATAATAGATTGGCATATACTAGTAATCGGATTTCTGGCGTAAACATTACTTTAGTGTGAGCACTCGAATCTTTGAAAATATAAGATGTGTCTGATAAAGATTTAGCAGATATAGTTACATTATGGTATAAATATGGAACGCAGGTCCAACTAATCTCCATTGGCTTTTTTTCAATGTTTCGGCCTTTAAGAATGCTTACCCCAGAAATTATTCGCTATCCCATGGTAGTACTATCTAATAGCTAATCATTAAAGCAGAATTTATAATCCCTAGCCAAGAAGAAGAGTTGGAAAGTGGGTACATCCAATGCGTATTTTATGGAATTTGGCTTTTTCAAAGTTTCGGACGAATTGTTTGGCCTTTAGAAATGCTACCTCAGAAATTCGATACTATCCCATTGTAGTACCATCCAATAGCATAGTCTATAATCCTTAGCCATAAGAAACTGCCGAAACAATTAGTTTGAAAATGGGTATCCCCAATGCATATTTCATAGAATTTGGCTTTTTTCCATGTTACGGACGAAATGTTTCGGCCTTAAAAAATGCCTACCCCTTTAAATTCTTTCCTATCCCATTGTAGTACTATACAATAGCTATTTATTAAAGCAGAGTCTATAATTCCTAGCCATAAAGAATGGCGGAGACAATGAGTTGGAAGTGGGTACTCCCAATGCGTATTTTAGAATTTGGCTTTTTTCAATGTTTCGGACGAATTTTTTCGGCCTTTAAAAATGCTTACCCCAGAAATTCCATACTATCACGTTATAGTACTATCCAATCGCTATTCATTAGATCAGAGTCTATAATCCCTAGCCATAAAAAACCGTCAAAACAATTAGTTTGAAAGTGGGTACCCGAAAAGCATATTTCATAGAATTTGGCCTTTTTCCATGTTTCGGTCGAAGTTTTCGGCCTTTAAAAATACTTACCCCAGAAATTCTTTTCGATCCCATTGTAGTACTATTCAATAGCTATCCATTAAAGCAGAGTCTATAATCCCTAGCCATAAAAAAACTGCCGAAACAATAAATTTGAATGTGGGTACCCCTAATGCATATTTCATAGAATTTGGCTTTTTTCTATATATGCAACGGACGAAATTATGCGGCCTTTAAAAATGCTTACCCCATAAATTTGATACTATCCCATTATTCTGGGTTTAAATAACCAATAATGAATTTCATCATTTTTTCATTGAATCATTAATCAGATGTTAACTTTACAGTTCTTATTTCTTCTTGTTCTTTATGGCATGTTAACAAAATTTCCCAAAAAATGTCTTTATATGTTGTCATATACTAATGCATAGCTAGATATTGAATATAAATATTTTCTGTAGATATAGATAATTGTTTTCATTTTCTTACATGTTTGAAGCAGGGATATACATCACTAATCTCTGGCAATCAGACATAAATATAACAAACTGATTTATGCAACATTTCCAGAGCATGATTCCATAGAATTTTTTTCTCAGTCATCATGATGTAAAACCGAGAAATTGTCCAAAACATCTAAAAACTGCGATTTAAACCTTCGACCACAGTTTTAAAAAATCTGCACTACTTTGGCACTCTATGACAGGCCTTAATCGAAGGGCTTTATATTTATCTTCAAAATAAGACCAAAATTAGCAGTAGGGTATTTCGGTCTAAAATTAGCCGTGAGGTATTTCGGTCCATTAACTTTTTTTAATCCACCGTACTATTAACTTTTATTTCTACTGACATTAAAAAAAGAAGAAAAGAGTACGGACATCCCTGCCGCATACCCATAAGTGGTCTAGAAGGGTCTGATATCCACCCGTTATTAAATAAAGAGCTATTCATATTTGTATACTAGGGTGTTATCCAATTTATAAAGGGTTTATTAAAACCAAAATATTTTCTGAGGTAAGATACATACAATTTCGTTTTAATGTGTCGTAAGCTTTCGAAAATCTATGAATGAAATAGCGCCTTCTATATTTAACTTATATGTATAATCTATTAGATTCTACAAATCTGTTTTTGATATCTTGTTTGATTAGCATACATGATTAGAATGAGATTATGTTTTATTCTTAATGCTAAACATTATGAAAATATTTTATATAATCACCATTTGAAATGCTATTTGTCTGTATAAATTTCAAGTTTTAACGGAGCAGTTTTTCTTATTTCAAAAATGACAGTTGTTTATTCTCAAATCTAAGATAAAAAAGTAAAGGTCCAAGAGAGTCCCAAAATTTTGTACAAAAGTTATTGCTTATTCCGTCAATTACTGGACTTTTGTTACGTTTAAAGTATTTACAGCAAAAGATATATTGAAGTTTACGACGACGGACGTCAAGTGATGTCGAAAGCTTATCTGGCCTTTTAGGCTAGGTTATTTAAAAAAGGTTAAGGGTAGTGGTAGATGCGGTATGATTGCCAATGAGACAATTTTCCATCAAAGTTCAAATGAAGTGGATGTAAGCAATTATAGGCAATCGTACGGCCTTCTACACTGAGAAAAACCCATACCGTATAGTCTGCTATAAAAGACCTCGACATAAATTATGTAAAATAATTCAATTTAGAAAATTAACGATTTCATTTATAACTGAACAGTTTACGAAGACAAAATATGACAGACATCAACCAACGACAACCACTGAACTACAGGCTCCTGATTTGAGATAGGCCCCAAAAGAATATATCGGGTTAATCATGTTTGCTTTGAAAAGTACTCAATATATCCAAGCAGATTTTGAAAGTTGGCAGGTGTTAACAACTTAAGTCTTCTCGGGAAAACTAAAATTTAAGCAACACTAACCCAACATGTTATAGTTGTTATCAGTTGAGTTCATTACATTGAAATATTTGAAAGTGGAACAAAATCCTTCATTACCTGATTTTTTTTCTGATGCTTCTTACGCTGTGCTGTTACTAAATTGTCCCTGGCCAGGGATCGGTTTTTTAGCACTGTCTTGTTAACATTTTAAACCCAGTCATTTCTGTATGTGCTTGACCCAAGTCGGGAACCACTGATTTGCTGCTGTTAACCATATTTGTTTGTCATCTATTATTTTAACCCAAAAAATTATGCTTGACAAAGTACGGCACCAGTTATTCGTTGCTGTTAATCATATATGTTTTTCATCTATTATTTTCATGACACCAAAAAATTAAAATATCACTTTAAAAATCATTGTAAATGTGTTGTCGCTGAAGTGTTTTCTTAATTTACCTACAGTAAAAAATACATTTCCATCCGTCCAATCCTATTATTCATTCCCTTGAAATTGAGCCAGATGGACTTTTTTTTCAAATCCCGTTTTTAATCACTTAAAATTTTGAAACTTAAGGCACTCGAGGTAATCATTGGGGACAATTCGACAAATTTACGACAATGACTGACATGAACAACTTCGTACTTTCGATCTGAATTCTGTCAACTGACATTAGATCGTACATTGATATCTTATTTATTTATTTTATTGACTCTTTATTAACGCAATAACATACTGAGATATTCTAACTATCGTTTTAAAACGCATGTTTCCCAAAAACCGCAATATGACTTGATTGTGTTAAATATCCGAACACATATTCGTGTATTTTGTCAAGCATCATTGAGTTGAAGTCTTACTCTCTGCGTTGATTCCTGAAATTAACATAAGATGCATTGTATAAATTAATGATGATTCAATTTATCATTATTTTAAAAATTTCGGATGCACAATTAAATTTCCAATTTGTGCACGTGCGGCGACTACTAATTACATAGTCAACGGGTTTTGTAGTGACCCGCATAATCCAGTTGTTTTATTCGGATTATAATTAAAATAACGCATGCGACCTACCACACTACTTTAAAAACATCCGGTTACAAGTAAATGAACAACATAAGATTGAAGATAATTGAGATGAAATCTAAATTTGACATCAATAAAAAGGAAGACATTAAAACATAATAACATAAACAATTATAACACTAACGATAGTGATTGTTTTTTAAGCCTGACTGTACATTTGTTTTATAAAATAACGCAGAGGCTATTTAACAAACTTGTAACCGATCATGTGTACAAATCGGTGTCAAGATGAGGCACGGATGTTATAAAATTGTAAAGGTAACTGTTCAATCATTTTACAGCCGGCAGTATAGGATTTCAGAAGACTTGAAAGTCTTCTTCCACCAAAAATTAGATGAAAAGGACCAGGAACATATAAATTGACAGTTAGATATATTGTTCCCAGAAAGGACTTAACTCAAAACATGTACACAAAGCAGAAAAACAACAAACAAACAAAATACAGAACGGACGTGGCAGGAAATATACATCCCCACAACAAAAAAGCTACAGATCTGAGAGTACTCGCAGTTACTGACAGCTAGTTCAAAGCCAATAACAATTTACCAATAATCATGTTCTCCCAGACTAAAGTAACAATCATTACACATCCAACGGATTTAGTGTAATGACGTCATAAACACTATCAACAGGACAGGATGTTTAAAAAAATAAAGATTTTACTTCTGTGTTGAATTGATAACCTTTAAGAATTTGTTTATTCAAAGGATCAATTTGTTTACATGGATCTTTTCTGAATTTACGGGCTTTACAAACAAACAAAAAACATGTTTAAGGTTTAGATCATGGTTATTTGGACTAATCATTCATTTGAATTTTTATTTACTTATAATCTACTCATGTACTTTATTGGTTTATTTTTCCGATGATCTTCAATTTCTTATTTGACTTATTCCTTACAAGCTTCTTACTTATTACTAGATGTGCCACCAATTCACAAGGAACTAGATGACAGCTTCAACTCCGTATAAAAGTATATGTCGGTTACTGTCTTAAACATGCAACCATTTATTTCCGTTTTGTTTTGTTTGTGTGGGATGTTTTTTGTTTTACTTATTTTTGTTGTTTTGTTTGTCCAGACATTTTCCGAAATGTTTTCCTTCGACCAACTTTGACGCATATTAAACAAAAAATGTCAACGTTTTACTATATTTTAATTACGGGGAAAACATTTGACAGGTTAACATCGCTATTATAAATGTATTAGATTGCTGACAAAAAAAAACATCGTGTATAAAATAATAATATAACATCTTCACACGCTTAAAACACATGTCTTATGTCTATCTCTAGATTCGCCTTCCGTGACAAGGTAACACTACGACTATTGAAGTTATATATTTATATTTTGTGTAATTGTCAGACTTATATACACATTGTCAATCGTACACAGTAACCAGAAAGAACAACCAATACACCAGTTCCGAGATACGGTAGTAAGTTATATCTGTCATTGGACTTTCATCACCATGTGACAAAAATGTAGGCATCGTCACTTTCAACACATGTTGACCGAATGGGTGAAAACGTTTGATGCTATACTGCACGAAATAATCGAGAAATAAAAATATTACAAGTTCGTCACCATCCTTTTAGTCGTACAGGACATAGAGTTTACGTACCTACGGAACATAAATTAATTCTAGACTATACTGCAGAATGACGATTCTGAAAATGCTTGAAAATTTAATAGGTGCAGGGAGACAGGCCCGCGTTCTATCTGGTAAATAATGTCATAAAGGGAGTGCGTAATTGAAGATCTTTTCCCGGTGAAAGACACGATTCGAGAAATAGCCTGTACGTTGTGTTTTAGCTCAGAACATCCTTGTCTCTGTAAGTTTTTCTATTAAGTCTTTCCGATTTGTGCCTGTCAGCTTTTGTTTTACTTCTTCAATGAGTTTATTTTCTTCGAGTTGATTATTAGATTTTTTAGTACAGTCAAGCGCACCAACATATCCTTCCCACATGAATCGACTCCATGCTACCCCTCTACTCTCTTCTAGGAGAACTGCTTTATAAAACAAATGCTCTGCTTTAATAAGATCACAAGGAAATGAACATAGCCGTAGAAACTTCGCACATTGGATGTGAAGTAATGGCAATGTAAGCCATGTGTATTTTTGAGTTTGCATTTGATTTATTTGAGCTTGCAGTTCTTCCACAAACGTCTTACCATATTCAAATGTAGTTCCTGCATTAGCTTTTTCCTGATTTGTAAATCTTAGTTCTAAAAACCACAATAAGATTCTCTTGCACATAGCGATGTGTCGATCATTTACCCTTGGAGATAGTTTGAGTATTCCAAAGTCAAAGTAATTATTTGATTTCTTCTGTATCATAGCTTCATAGAAAGCAATATCGTCATCAACCTCGTATGATGGATTGGTATCCTGGGTCCAGCGTTCCAACATCCTGCCACTCCTGTCACTCTCTAAGCATACAAAAACGTTTTTGAATTTATATTTCTTTTTCATTAATCTACAAAGACTGTTTGAAAATACCACCTCAGAGTGAGATGCTTTCCTTAGCGTTTCTGTAGCTTCATCTGTTGTTATATATCGTAGTTCATTCCATGCTCTACTATTGTTATGTAAAATGCGTTGGACGAGTTCATAAACAAACGTTTCAGAGATATCTTTTACCGAAAGTGCAAGTTTTTTTTTTAATAACTTTTCATAAAGACCATCAATATTCAAATAGTGGTATTTGAATTCTTCCTTGGTTTTTTCCGCCTCTTTTTTGAAAAGCTTCATGTCATCTAATTCATCACAGATAACATCTTTTTCACTCTCACTTCTTCTTTTGCTTTTGACAAACTCCAAAACAAAATTCTGATTGAATTTTAGTAAAAATGCTGTATCTAAAACTTGTTGTATATCATTCTCGGTAGGTGGTTCATGCACAAGAAAATCTGTTTTGTTCATTACAAGTTCAAGACATAAGCTTCTTGATTTTAATAAATATTTATGAGCAGATTCCACATCATTCCTCTGATATAATAGAGTTGACCCTATTGCACAGTGAAGATATGAAAGGTAGAACTTGACTTCCGGTGAATCTTTATTTTCATCAGGCAACTCAAGTTCATTCAGTAGTTTTTCTGCATGTGGTAGAAACTGAATATTTCTATCAAGTGTAACATCTGTTCTTGCATCTATGTCTATTTCAAAGCAAAACATTTTCAAAAGAAAGTAAATCCTTAATTGTCTTTTCCTTCTCGTCGATTTTTCATCTGCTTCTTTTTCATTATCAATTAAATTTAAAACGCACATCGTCAATTCATGAAATGTTAGAATATCGTAAGAAAAACTACTTTCGGCAAACTTTTCATCAATATCAATCATTCGTCGTACTGGTTTCTTTTCGGAATGACAAACTGAAAAGTTTGCAAATTGGTCCATTAGTATATCTATTTTCACTTTTCCTAAAGACTCATTGTCTTTTGTGGGACATGAATGATAATAACAAGCTTCCAATACTTCCTTTGATACGGAGCTGTATTGCAAATATGGTAGATATCCCACTATATCCCATAGATCACCTTGTTTTAGTTCGTGCAAATGCTCCTCAATGTGTTTTAAAGGTAGCAGTTGAGACTTTATAATACTTTTGCGATTATTCATTTCATGTGCTATAAACTTTTCTTTGGCATGTATTCCCGTTAAATCTTTAAATATCTCTATATAATTCTTGATCGTATGCTCTCGTCTTAATATGTACTGTTTTGCACTATCAACGACCAGAGGAATATTGCCAATAACCCTAATTAAATCTTTGATTTCGCTGTTTGATACTTCAACTGATTGGTTATTTTTAAACAGATCTAAAATTTCGTTAGTCTCCATTCCATTGAACGTAACTACTGGTGCCGTTTTAAAATGCGTGTGTATCTTTGAATTTACTGTTGCAACAATGATATGGAGTCCTTTAACCTTATCTTTCAGGGAGAAAACATGGGAAAGCGGATCATGATCATTTATTTCCATCACGTTGTCAATAAAAAACAAATACGAACACCCACGACGGCGATCGTGGTTTAAGAAGTTTCCAATGTGAGTGCACAGTAGTTCACAAAAGTTTTCATCCTGATTTTGAATACTTAATCTTAAGTTGGTTGCAAGATTTTTTAGTGAATCTATGAATGATTTGTTATCTCTTGCATTAATTTTGGCGATCACTGAATAGCTGTATCTCATCTTAGAACAAAAATAATATACTGCTTGTGTCTTGCCTGAACCCGAGAAACCTAAAAATGAAAAAAAGATTTATTTTCGGGCTCCTGGTTTCTGCACATGTACTATATAGTGATCCTATTTCAAACCGAAATATAGACCAAATCATATCTCTGTGCTAAATATTTGTTCGATAACGAAAATCTAATTGTAAAAGGATTTTGCACCATCGAATAACTGAAATATCTTACTCACTCTTTATGATGAAAGGAATGCAGAAAAGCGCATTAATTAATAAAGTGTTATGTTCCTAACCAGAACTGGGTCGATAAAACAGCTGGTGGACTCTTAATCTCGAGGGTATTTCAACTCAGTAGATTGTGCTTACATGAATTTTATGAAACTTTTCTTACATTCTCCATTGATAAATTTAAAAGATACTAACTCCCTCAAGCAAAAAGTAAAATAACAAAAATACCGAACAATAAGGAAAATTCAAGACGAAAAGTCCCTTATCAAATGGCGAAATCGTAAACTCAAACACATCAAACGAATGGCTTCCAAATGTTTCGGTTTGATCGTTCCGGGTGAAGGTAAATCCAGAAAAGCACGTCGGGCACATGACATTAATAAAGTGTCCACACTGTGCTGACTTCGTTACCAGGGGTGTGCTCATTACACAATAAAGAGCTGCGGCCTGAACGCCCGTCACTTTTGCAAAGAATAAAGTTTCATAACTGCTCAATGTCATATCAGAAATTTATAAAAAAAACTAAAGGGAGGTTATTTTAATAGAAATAAACCAGTCACCAAAGTTTCATGAAAACTACGCAAAGCACTTTTGAGTTATTGTCTGAAAATTGGAAAAGCACCCCTTTTTTATGAATAAAATCCCATAACTCGGAAACGTAAAATCTCAAATTTATAAAAATCGAAAGGAACCTTACGTTAATAGATATAAACAATTCACCAAAGTTTCATCAAAACTGCTCAAAGCATGTTTGAGTTATTGTGCGAAAACTGGAAAATCCCCATTTTTTAATAAATAAAACCCCATAACTCGGAAACGTAAATTTAAAGTTCATAAAAATCGAAAGGGAGCTCACATCAATATATATAAACAATTCACCAAAGTTTCATGCAAATTGGTTTAAGCGTTTTAATTAGACGACTATACTTCTACATGTTGACGACGGACGGACGGACGGACAGACGGACGGGCAACGGTATACCATAATACGTCCCGTAAACGGGCGTATAAAACCTGCTTCAACAGAGTTATGAGGATAAACAACTGAAATCGACATTACTAAAGATTAACGGTCACCATCACAAGTTTGTTTTACCAGTTCGATGTGTCGGTGTTTTAAGTCACTAGCTATATGTCATATATATTTAAATGCCAGTATAGTCGTCTGATCTGTAATTTTACCGATTTGTGACATTTTGTCTGTCTGTTGAATTTACATAGTGCGTGAAGCATACATAGCAGAAGACGCTTACCCTGAGGACGCACACGGTCTCGCTCCTTTTAGAGTTCATGCGATTCTTTCAGTTTTTTCTTCGTTACCTTGATTTGTCTCTTCCTAATCGATTTACTATATTTGAAAATCGGTAAACCAATGTCGTCTTAATTTATTTCATTTATGCCGAATGCTGTGGAAATGCTTGATTTAGCTTTGGTTTTTCTTTCATATGCGTTCTAGTTATAATTTTTACCACAGAATTTGGTTGTGTTTACTTTTCTGTAAATGATAAATGTATTAGATGAACGGCAATACCATGTAGTCAGTTCTTTTGAGGTTCAATTCAATTAAAATATTTACTTAATGTGCATAATATATTAATATTCTATTTCCTTTACTCTTGATTTAAAAGTCAATACGTATATAAAGTTTTATTATTCAATTCATAATAAATATATTAGTTGTAATAATAAATTTAACACCCTAAATTAAGGTTATTATTTATAGACATCATTCTTTTCCGAAAAAAATGGATGAGTGGCTATGCAATTCTTGAACAATTCTTTTCTAGAATTTCTGAGTTTTGAATGAATTTTTGATTGTTTTTATCATAAATCATAAGTGTGTCCTCCTTTACCTTCAAGAATAAGCAAAGTACTCTGACTTCTGCCTTTAAGTTCAGTTTCCATGTCATTTATTTGTTTTGTCGGCTGATAGTTTTGCATACACTGCATATCTGTTATTTGGCGAAATATATCTGGAATTAATCAATTTTAGTGATTTTACTCTAAAAAAAACCTTTAAAACAATGTCATGTAAATGTTCTGACAACATCAATAATAACTAGTTTCTTACATCACACACATTTCAAAACAATGGCCATACTTAGTGAGTAGTTAATCTTTTATGTTTCCGTACAAAAATAATCATTCTCCTTCGTTACTCTTGGGGAGGGGGTGGGGGTGATACGACTACAAAATATTCACCCCCACTGCACCCCAAATTACGGCACTTACATCCTACTTTGATATTGCACTTTGTAATGGTAATCATTTTTGTATCTTTTGTAACTTTTATAGAAGAGAGGCGAAAGATACAAAAGGAGTTGTGTCTTAAATATAGGTAATCTTCATCTCGACGGCACACTGACAATGTTACAAATAGGGGACGTAATCTGCGATAAAAGTATAGATACTGCAGAGCGGAGCGAGGCGAAAATGTTTTTGAACTATTTATGCTAAAAAATGATATATTTTCTAATCAAACGGGGATGGGGTGTACGCTTATGATATGCAAAGGTGGGGTATGGCGACGAAACCACCACCCCTGTGAATCCGTCACTGCTCTACAAAAGGGACATCATTTATTCATTTTGATTTAAACCAAACACGTATACGGTGGCAATTTGTACATTTGTTCTGAAAATAAAAAGTCGACGATCTCCTAAACTAGATTGTATCCTTGATGGCCTAACTGTCCAAAAAATATAAAAAAATTGTTTGGGAGAAGATTAAAATATATATAACATTTATTGGTAGTGACAAAAATGTTAGGCCCAATGAGGCTGTTTGACTATTTATACTTACTCCACCTAAATCGGTAACTCGTTTTGCTATTTACCAAAAATACATGAAATGAATAGTCAAGGTTCGTATATATCATATACCAACATACATCCATCCATCTAGATAAAAAAATATTGATTAGAAAAAATGAATTTTTAAGACTTTCCAATGTTTAAAAGTCAAACGAACTATATCATTAAAATTTCGTCAATAGACAGTCTGCTTGAATGTGATTCTGCCAGCTATAATTGATAATTATATCTATTTAACAATATTTTGTTTGCATTTTTTTATATATCGAAAAAACAAACTTCTCTGCACTGTATAATCAATTTAATTTTCCGGGTTTAAGATAATCAATTTATTTTATTTTATATTGGGACAATGACTATTAAACTTTCAGAAAAGTATGACTTTATATCAGAAAAAGATCGAATGTTAAAATTGTTGTAGCAATGCTTGTTTTTTTCAATGTTTTTTGCAATTTTTATCGCTGTTGTGTGGCAGTTTTGATCGATTTACACGGAGCTTCACCATTTTAAGGAAAACGCTTCAGCGCGTTTATCGTTATAATTATTTAATTGGTTTATTTAAATTTATACATGTGAAATGTTTTCGTAACCAAATCTTGAAGCAGAAACTGTATGTAGCACCATGTGTGTAAATCAAACCTTACATTCATCAACTTGTCATTCTTTCGAATGGCGGAATCCCGCTTGACAGTCTCCCAAATGACCCATAAAATAGAAAATCCGTACAGTTTTGTTCCCACACTGTGAATAGAGATACCACCTTATACTGGGGCTGCATTCAGGTGTTCCGAAAGTGTAAGAAGATCATGCTCCACAGCTGACCAGTAATGTGGCTACACATTTATTTTTTCATAAATCTAATGGTTCAGGATCATGTTCAATAAAATAAAACTGCTTACTGGTTTGCTGACTTAAAAAGTTTCACGAATTTGTGATTGAAAATGTGAAATAATTCAAATATCAAATGAAATTTAACTTCTCATCATTCCAACACATTTGTAAAAGGCAATTAGCTGTCAAATTCATGATCACCAATTAATGTTATGAAAGGATTAAGGACGTTATTAGAAACAATTAGAAATTGAAATAAAGTAGATCTTAGTAAAACAAAAATATATATTTCTAAATGTCAAATAATTCGTTGATATAGGAAAATAAAATAAGAAGAAAACACATAAAGAAAATAGCTCATGATTCGTAAGAATAACATACATTATCTTAGATGCAAGATAAGCAAAAATAGTACAAGTCAAGAACCTTAATTAACAAGTATGTAGCACGCGTATTCGAGTAACTGATATATATGATTGCTCTCGTGATATATATCTGATATAAAAATTATATTGAATAGTTTGACAAAAAGGGATGAAACAATCGGAAGTTTGACAAGTAAATATATATATATATATATATATATATGATAAAAAAAATAACATAAAATGATATTCTTAAAAATTGATTGCTAATCTTTTACTAAAATAAAAATCTTAAGAGAAAAGATATTTTTAGATTTCAAAATTTATGAAGTCATACCTAAAACTAAACGTGGACATGAACAATTACTTAAAGAGATATGTTTCAAATAAAAGGTATTTTTAATTAAATCCTTAAGGTATCTTTAACGAGGTCCTTTTAAACATCAAAATGAGTGAAATTGATCGTAATATTAGGAGTTCAAATATATGGTACCCCGTTATACATGATGAGGGAACATGTTTGTCGTCGCTACGAGTTCACCTTGTAAGGTATTGTAGCTCGAAGTTATACTAACTCTATTCAACCGCAAACGAACTCATCATGCGAAAGAGAAAATTCACATTAGCCGAGTCCTTGAGAGCGTTATGCTCCAATGGATACATTGGAATAGGGTACGGCTAAAGAGAATATGAAAGAGGCATAATCGAGAGATATAAACACATTTTTAGATAATAATCATGAGTGCTATACATTTTTTTTTTGCACGCGAGAGTAATCAAGAACTAGTTATTCTGAACAGTTTGCCTTCAGAAACAGGTTGAGATTTCTGAACAATCTGTCATATAAACACATAATTAGATTAATTTACATAACAGATCAGGATAATAATAACCTATATTCACAGATTTTATTACAATTCTAACACACAAAAAAGGAGAGTAAAAAAAATTAAATAAATTAAAAATTAAAAAAAATTAATAATAACAATGAAGTAAAAAAAAAATAAAAAAATAAAAAAATGTAAAAATTATATTAAACTGGTGGAATTCAAACAATCAAGTCCGATCTTCATATATATATATAAAAAAAAAAAGAAAGAAGAAAAAACATGATCAATATAAACTTTATAACAACCATGTTAAATTTGATTTACTATGATTTAAATGACTTAAAACAGAGAGAGTGAATATTTTCAGTACCTTACATATGGAGTACATAAGACACAGATCTCCATATGACTTATTGTCGCGAGTTGGAGTACATCCAGAGACAGATCTCTAATATTTCGCAGGTGGACTTCAGTTCCACAGAAGAGGATCGGCACCGGTTGATTGTTAAAATTTATTATTATTGTGCATGCATTATATATAGTTTTTATGTGTATGTGTTTATATTTGTGTTTCATGTATTGCTAGAAAATTTTAAAAAAAAATGAAATCAGGAGATTTCAAACTTAACAAGGGGGAAATGTTATGAAAGGATTTAGGACGTCATTAGAAACAATTAGAAATTGAAATAAAGTAGATCTTAGTAAAACAAAAATATATATTTCTAGTTTATTAAGATAGTTAAAAGTAAAAAGACAATATAAATGTCAAATCATTCGTTGATATAGGAAAATAAAATAAGAAGTAAACACATAAAGAAAATAGCTCATGATTCGTAAAAATAACATACATTATCTTAGATGCAAGATAAGCAAAAATAGTACAAGTCAAGAACCTTAATTAACAAGTATGTAGCACGCGTAAAGAAGGTTGTTAGGTCAACGGACAGATGTGTGGCGAATTGCTATTACATCTAACGTTATAATCATATTCACAGAATTGTAGATAAGCTTCAGCATCATGAATATTCAGTAATACATTAAGGGCACACAAGAATGTTATTAATGACCAATCAAAAAGCTGAAATAAGAAGACTGATGTATATAAGATAATAATTAAAATATAACAAATCTCAATTATCCTTTGTTCTAAAGATCAGAAATTGGAAATGAAACAAAATATTATTATATTTGATTTTAGAAATAATATTCCAGATGCTGTTCAAAAACAAATATATGCATTTTGCATATTATGAAGCAATAAATGTTTTAGCAACAAATTCCATCGTTTGCAAAAGAAGCTGAATTTTGGCTGGGGAACAAGAATGTCGGGTATAGAATAGAAACTATAAAAGCAAATATAAGTTTACTGCCCGTACTATCCTTGTTCCTACCAGCAAATTGAGTTGTCTTATTTATTTCATTAAAAAGGTAAGTTATAAACTGTTACTTAAAATTATTCAAAGAAAGAAATTAATTGCTATATAATTCAATAAATATAAATATAAATATATATATTCAGATATAACATGTTAGTCATTGCGTTTCATGAGGTTATTCACTCATGTATAACAAATAGAATGAACGTAGTTTACAAGGTAATTCAAGCAATATTTGAAATATGTAACAATATGTGTTATTGTCAACTGATAATGTTATTTATTGTTAATCTGTATGATTTATGCACTGTGATATTTTATGATCAAAAAGAAAAGAAAAGAATAATTAAACTATCCTTGTTCCTACCAGCAAACTGAGTTGTCTTTTTTATTTCATTAAAAAGGTCGGAAGGCGCGAGTCCCACTCTCGCTGCCAAGCCAGTTCATAACAACGACATGTAGTCCCCAGATGCCCAGACATCTTTTTACCTACAAGAACCATAGAACTTAACAAACGAGAGAAGGGAAATCACCATCATGTTTATCAATATAGAAGTCCTGAAGCACAATCATAGTCCCACCTTAAGTGTTCCCCCTGTGAAGTATACAACAAAAAGGACGATAAAACCCGTCACAACAACTGGTGGAGAACCCGACAACTGGTAGAGGACTCAAACCTTCTTTATAACAACAAAGGAAGAGACGATGCAAACGACCTTGAAGAAATTTTCAATACCACAGGTGGAGACAGAAATATATCAACCACGAGGAATAAAACGACTGCTGCTACAAGTTTAAAGTATCACAAAAATATTTCAGTAAACGGATAGTACTCAAACAGAAGACAAACAGTACCCTAAACCAATTCACCAAAATTAACCTATGTGATGTTAGGAACAATATCATAACAGCCAATCGCCACTAGACTGAGCAACATGAACCCCACCAAAAACTGTGGATGAACTCAGGTGCTCCGGAAGGGTAAGCAGATCCAACGCCACATGTGGCACCCGTCGTCGTGTTGTTCATGTAAGTACAGACCCGGTAATAAGTCTAATTAGGTAGGAAACATTCAAGCAGTTCGTTTCCCTTTAAGAAAGTGATGACCTATGTTCCGTCATTCTTTGCATATAATCATCATAAGACATATCATCCGCGTTATCAACATTACCATCATTATTTGGTGTATATATATCAAGTCATCAATATGTTTTAGAATAAAGTAGGATCTGAAAAACTACCGAACAGTTTCTGTTTAGGTGGTGGTGATGATATGCTATTTGGTTTATTGTTTTATGAGCTGGACCTATAACTGTTGAAGACGATTTTAAAAGTGATGCATTTGAAAATACCTTTGCATTGATATTTATGAATATCTGTTTCTCATATGTTTCAACTTCACAAAACGTAAAGTTCTATTTCCAAAATAACGACTGGTTGGTGACAATTTGCATGTTTTGTGGCATCTCATCTCTTTCTATCTACGATGAGCTAGTATGTATTTCTGTGCCAATTACCTCTCGTCGCAGTAACAGCAACTGAATTAGTCCTCCTTTGATAATGGACTTTCCGTTTTGAATTTTTCTTGGAGTTCGGTAATTTTGTTATTTTACTTTTTTTCAACAATTAAACTCGAAAAAACAAACATTTGAAAAAAAATAAACTTGAGAGCTACAATGATTGCTCAAGTCATTACATACAAATTCTTCGCAAATCAGAGCAACCCCATATAATATTAAAGGCCTAACGTCACAGTACCCAAATTGCACCTATTTAGCAAAAATAGCAGTTTTCTTAGAGACTAAACAAGTTATATTTTATGATTTGACATTATACACGGCTTTAAACATAGGTAAATATATTCAAATATACAGTCAGGAGCCTCTGGCCTTTGTCAGTCTTGTATTTTTTTTTAATCTTAGTTCATTTATATGTTTTGGAGTTTAGTGTGACGTCCATTTTCACTGAACTAGTACACAATTTTATTTAGGGGCCAGCTGAGGACCACCTCCGGGTGCTGAATTTTCTCGCTGCGTTGAAGACCCATTGGTGGCCTTCGGCTGTTGTCTGCTCTTTGGTCGGGATGTTGTCTCTTTGACATATTCCCCATTTCCATTTTCAATTTTATCATTGATAATTTAGGTGCTTAATGTCTATTGCTTTTATGTTATGTTAGTTGTTTTTGTGCCTCCAACCGATCTTTCAGTTAAGCCAATTGCAACTGATTTCTTTGTTAGTTCTTATGTTGTTCGGTGGCCAAGTGGTCTAAGTAGTCACACTACTGTATCACTAGCCTGTCAACTTTGAGGTTGGGATTTCGAATCCAGCACGTGCAAGGTGCACTTAACTCCAATCTTAATTGACTTGGAATTTCAGTTGTCCTACTGAAGGTCGGTGGTTCTCTCCGGATCCAACTTCCTCCACCAGTAAAAACTGACCGCCACGGAATAGCACAATAGTGTTTAAAGAGGCGTTAAAACACCAATCAATCAATCAATCAATCAATCAATTGAATGTTGAATATTGAAAAAATAAAAAGAATAAAAAAAAATTTGAATGTTGAAACCAAATATTAAATGTTGAAAACGAATGTTGAATTCTGAATAACGAATGTTAAATTTAGAAAAACGTATGTTGATTATCGAAATCGAATGTTCAATGTTGAAATCGGATGCTGAAAAAAAAATTAAATGTTGAAAACGAATATTGAATGTTGAAATCGGATATTGAAAAAAAAAAAATGATTTTTTTTTTTCATGAGACGTTTTTTTTCTAATGTTGAATTTTTCTAATGTTGAATGCTTAATGTTGAATATTGAACCAACTTGACATCCGATAGACTGGATAAGAGATTATAACATTTTTGGGTTGTTTTTTTTTTGTATGTCTGCGTTTGTTGTTAATAATACAGCAATAAATAATAGTTTGTTGCTATTTGAATACTTTATGTACAAATGTAAATGAAAGATGTAAGATGTAAGAACATATTGCCCATAAAATATCCTAGGATATGATAATTAAAGTACTGGATTAGTATAGAACAATACTCTGTTTCTAAACTCTTGCATTAAAGTAAGAATAATTCAAAAGTGGCAATTGTTAGAAGAAGCATTTAATTAACCAAACATCATTTAAAATATCTTTTCTAATATCCTTATAACTTGATATAAGAAGATGTGGTATGAGTGACAATGAGACAACTCTCCATCCAAGTCACAATTTGTAAAAGTAATCCATTATAAGTCAAAGTACGGCCTTCAACACGGAGCCTTGGCTCACACCGAACAGCAAGCTATAAAGGGTCCCAAAAATGACTAGTTTAATTGTACAAGTGTTACGTAATCTTAAGATATTGTGCTTATTATTGTATTATGTAATTTCACCTGTTTCATTTTGAAAAATAAAAAAAAACAATTGTTTTCGACTTCAATAAAAAATATTATAACAAGTATTTACTTGTTTCCCTTATACTTGTATCCCTAATAGTCAATTGAAATACAGGAATTTAGTCATTTTCTTCTCAAGATATTTTAAATCAATTAATTAATTTTTAAAAAGCCCATGCTCCCAACAAAAGATGAATGGTTGGGGCATTAGAATATTTTGAAAAAGCATCTTTAAAATTACAAATTTACCTGTCATTGTTTTAAGCTTGTCCCTGTTTTCCCTCTGCTTTGAAAGTGTTCTTTTTTTCATATCTGCAAATGATGGATGTAAAAAAAATATAAATGAATTGTTTATAAGTTCAATTTGATTTTCTTTTTCACATGCAAATCGTTTTAAGGCTTATTTCGATAATTTTCAAATGAATTGAAATTAACCAAATAAGCAGAAGATTATTCCAGTGTACTTTTCTTAAACCGGTGTTTGTATTTGCCTTTTAAAATGAACTTTTATGCGTACCCTAAATCATACGTTAATTGAAAAATATTGTGACTTAGTGAAATTCACCTTAGTGATGAATTTTACGGAAATCATATTTTATTTTAATCAATCAATTATAAAAGACACACTACCTTATACATACATACCTATCGAATCAAGTTGGAAAATGTAATTCTTATCCTCAGGCAGCTTTTAAGTTTTAAATTTTCAAATTTGATAATCGAAACTGGAGAAATATAGTATCGCAAGAAATGCGGAAGTTGAATCGTTGTATTCAAAAACATTTTGCTGTCCATTCCAACTATCTGCAAACTTATCGTGTTATTCTGTGTGACGTCATTTTGAATGGTCGCTCTATATAGTGACGATACAATAGCCAAATAAAAAAACATTATAATGGAATTTTGACCAATTACGCAACCAAGATCAGGCAAATCACAAGTTGTGTGACCATTGATCGTCTTTTCAAAGTTAGACGTATATAATAAGATAATATTGATATGACTGTATGGCTATACAAATGAGAAGATGTAATCGATTGCCACATTTGATTGAGACAATTCTCCACCAGAGACCAAATGACATAGAAGTCAACAACTATAGGTCACCGGATGGCCTTCAACAATGAGCAAAGCCCATACTGCATAGTCAGCTATAAAAAGCCTGACGTGAAATGACAAATGTGAAAAAACTCATACGAGAAAACTAACGGCCAGATTTATGTACAAAACTATGAACGAAAAGAAATATGATATACAGAAAAAAACGACAACCACTGATATACAGGTTCCTGACTTGGGACAGAAACATACACAATGTGACGGCGTTTAACTAGTTTGAAGGCGCCATTCCTCCCATCTGACATGGGATAATGATGTAACAGTACAACAGTACAACATAAGAACAAACTATAAAAATCACTTGAAAAGGGCTTAACTCATCAAATCGATACAAAGCAGGAAGATATCTAACAAAAACACAGACCGGACGTGGCAGGGTATTTATACATCCCCACAACAAAAAAGACTCTTAATACAGATCTGAGAGTACTTGCAGTTTCTAACAGCTAGTTCAAAGCCAATAACAACTAATAAAAAAAAATCATGCATTTGAGACTAAAATATCAATCAATACACATCAAACATCCAACGGATTTAGTGCAAAGACGTCATTAACAATCAGAGAAAAACATGACCTTGTGCAATGCCAAGATACAGGTATCGACAGATTGTAGAGCCATGAATGTGCATATGTATATAAAAATAATATTTAGTTTGATTTTAATTTGCTGATAACAAAATCAATATTAATACCGATAACAACAATATTCAAATATCTAATTACAGTGTTGAATTAGTAACCTTTTCAAATAAGTTTATTTAAAGGATCGATAAGTTTAACGGGATAGTATCTTATTTTCTGTTCTCGGTTAACGACATCTCCGTACAAATTAGGATGCGCTATCCCGTTTGAAATAAGTTTTCTACAGGCACAGCCAAACTTTCAAACCAATTCTTTCTATCTATGGAAGAAGTTAGTAAAGGATTTAAGTAATTGTAGTAACGAAATCCCTGCCTAATAATTTATCAGTAATAAATAGATTACTTTTATTGAATTTAAAACGTAAAAACAGTCACGGGAATAGCGAACGAGTTGTGCCGAAACGTACATAAATGTTATCAAGAAGAAAATTAACAGCTTCAAAAAGAGGGACGAAAGATACCAGAGGGACAGTCAAACTCACAGATCGAAAACAAACTGACAACGCCATGGCCAAAAAAAAAGAGACAAACAGACAAATAAAGTACAGATGACACAACATAGAAAACTAAAGACTAAGAAACACAAACCCCATCAAAAACTGGGGGTGATCTCGTTTATCATCATTTACGGCAGATAAAAATAGCTGATTTGCAAAGCATTCCATCTACATATAGATATATATATATATATAACTAGTGGCAAATATAACCTTCATATCAGGATCAGGACATGTTAGTGCGATATGCTGCATATCAACTCTTCGCTTGGTTTGTCTAGTTTGTGTCTTATTCCTGCTCTTCCTGGTTTGAGTATTGTTACTCAAAACTTTTTGCATACATTCGAAAATAATACGGCCGCAAATAGCAGAACAAAATGGTTGAGACATACCAGGTAGTCCAACTACAGAAAGATATGAAAACTACAGTAACAGGTTACTGTACTATCTCAAGAACTTTAAAGACAGTTCAAGTAATAGGATACATGTTCCTGTATTTATAAAGCAGATAGGACAACTTTTGTCATACATATACATAAAAAATGATAAAGGCAATGCAAGGTCGATAGTTTTTTTTTTGTGTATAAAGTATTAATGTATTTACAAAAAAAATGAGAAATTAGCGCTCTCTTGTATTACAATTTAATTTATCTCTCTCCCTATTTCATTTACCAACTAATTACTCACCAATACGGAAACATGCTGAATATTCCATTCTGTTTCTACACCATAACGCAAATACAAAAATTGTAACTGAAAAGTATGCATTTCTGTTAAAAAACATATGCTTTATTTATCATAAATGTTGTTTTACTACAGTCATACGATTAAACTTACATTTTCGGTTGGTGTAAATATTATATTATCGGAAATAGTGAGGAGTTCGGAATTGAATTATATCTGGAATTGGTATAGTAAGATTAAAACATCTCAGAGGTGCTTTCCAACTACAGTCGTATCTTGGTCCAGTATCGAGTATGCTCTTTTTTGTAGTAATGATGAAAGTCGAATGGTGAACTTTTTCGAAGAACCACAGATTATAGGTGAAAATCAATACTATATCTATGCATAAGAGTTAGTAAACTTGATCTTGAAAAAGGACCAGCCTTTGTAAATAAATTTCATACATTAGTAGCTGCTGAATAGCAGTGGCGTCAGTAAAGCTGTAGCATAAAACCTTAGTTGAAGAATAGAGCTTTGGCATCAGCTTTAAACAGTGGGCCATTTTTAGAGCATTGGCTTTAGAGCATTGGCTTGACCTTCAACCAGTTGTCCATTTTCAGACCATTGGATTCAGCTTGATGCATTGACCTATTTTAAAATCATTGGCCTTAAAGAGCAATTAGGAACATTTAATGTAAGAAAAGCAGTACAACAGACAAAAAGCAGAGAAATAATGCATCTTTCTTGGCACCCATTGTTCATCGCTATAATCTTTGCTACCTTGGGGACCAGAAACCATTGAGCCCTTGGTGTCCGTCGTTAATATTAAGGTGACTAAACCAATTTTTCATTCGATTTCAAAACTGTATCCGGAGAAATAACTGTGGTACGTATTTAGAACATTACCTAGACCTGTACCCCCGGTACGTGACACTATGCAGAACAAAACTAGAATTGTTTAAAATTGCTATTGAGTTAATGTTCAAATAGATATAGGAAGATGTGGTATGAATGCCAATGCGACAACTCTCCATCCAAGTCACAATTTGTAAAAGTAAACAATTATAGGTCAAAGTACGGCCTTCAACACGGAGCCTTGGCTCACACCGTACAGCAAGCAATAAAGGGCCCCAAAAATGACTAGTGTAAAACCATTCAAACAGGAAAACCAACGGTCTAATCTATATAAAAAAACAAGAAAAGAGAAACACTTATGAACCACATCAACAAACGACAACCACTGAACATCAGGTTCCTGACTTAGGACAGGTGCAAACAAATGCAGCGGGTTTAAACGTTTTGATAGGCGCTAACCTTCACCCTAACCTGAACAATAGTGTAACATTCAAAGCCTGGATTGTAGATATTTTATTTAATAGTTCAAAGATGTGAAGGGCACTTGAGGCACGACAAAGAGGTAAAGTCAAAAACAAATGTCCATGTATATCATGATAATCAAGGTCAAAAATCAGTACTGGGATTAAATATAAGACTAAACAATGTATTTTCTTTTCTCTAAACAATATAGCAGCATTATCTACATGAAAATGTTTTTATGTGCTAAAATTAATGTTGGAGACAATTTAATACAATATTTAAATTTTTGCATTGTGTTTTCATAATTTGCATCGTAGTACTTCGTAAACCGACGAGAAACAATTTTACTATTATAGACAATCCATAGCTTTACTCCGCGTTAATTTAGTTTTGCTACGAATATCCTTTTCTACCAATATTTAGAACAAAACTCAAAATATGTCAAAATTCATGAAATCACAGTTTGTAACAATTTTAATGCATTTAAGATTTTGTCACATCTTCAGTAATCAGCCCCATGCTGTTCGAACGTAGAATAAACTCAGAACGCTGTGGTACTTTTAAATTTAATAAATGGAGGAAAAAAGTTTTAATAAGATTCTTGTATGAATTAAAACTTTGTTCTAGCTTATTCACCGTGTCCAAAGCCACTTATTTGGACTGAGATCAGCATTAAACGAAGATTTTGTATCTTCTGTTTGAAAACAAAAAATATATATAACGGAGTTATCCAAATATTCTTAGGAATTATCACTACAGGATAAAAAAAAACATACTTGCGAAATACAATGTCAGAAGCTTCAAATTTAAATGCAATAATTTTCTGCTTGAATGAGCTAAATTTACAAACTAAGTAAACAGTGTCCTCTATGAAAAGTGCCTTCGCGTTCTCGGTGTACTGTGACTTCCATTTCGCAATACCAAATAACAACAATACATTCAGTTTGGTATGTTTATTTTGATTTTTATACTGATTCTTCATTTTTAATAACATGACGTATTACAAAATGAATTTGACATACATTAATTGTATATTAACATAAACATAATAATTAAACCTTAGTGTTTGGGTGTATTGTCTAATGTTCGATGGCGTTCCAAGACTTTTTACAATTTAGTTTCAAAATATTTTTACAAATGCCAAAACATGAATTAAATCCCTTTTTAAAATTATATTTATTTGATATCAAAGAAGCATGGTTTCCTAATATTGCTGTATATTTTTGCATGTAATGAATATGCATTGTCGGTTTAGTTTGCAAGTGTGCTGTTACTTCGCATTAATTTCAGTCCAGTGTACTGCGACTTCTTGAGTTTGAATGTCCCTTTGGTATATTTCGCCTCTCTTATGGTACAAAGCGATGTGAATGTACTGTGACTTCATGTATTAAATAAACTCATCATAGATAGCAGGATTCAAATTTTGTACGCCAGACGCGCGTTTCGTCTACAAAAGACTTATCAGTGACGCTCGAATAAAAAAATTTAATTTTAGTCCCTTAAAATTGTTCCAATGTTAGCACATCCCAGCCTATGATTTATTATATGGGTTGCTCCCATTTGGACCTTTACTAGTTTTACGAAGAATTTGTATTTAATGACTTGTAGCAATCATTGTACCTCTCAAGTTTATTTTTTTTTCAAATGTTTGTTTTGTCGAGTCGACTGTGTAAAGGACAAATCTTGTTGTCGTTACTGTGATGAGAGCACAGAAAGACATATATTAAATTTGGCTATTTGGTTTATTTGGCGCCAGCAATGAAAGTGCCAAAATTAAACACACGAAAATAACGCAAACACTATACATTTAAACGCCAAAATCGCGTACCGGTATGACAATATTGTAATGTTACTTGTTGGGAATACTAAACAAGTACATGTAGTATACATGAAAAGTGTTCATAATGCAGGAATACAAGTTCCCTCCAGTGTTTCTTTCTAAATAAAAAGTGAGTAGCTTTTCAGTATATTGTCGTCAGTTTGTAGAAAGTTTTGACCAAGACGGAACTATGTCTTCCAAGTCGATTTTGCAATTTTTAATGCCAAAGCCACATGATTTATTTATTGAAGCGTCAAATGTTGATAAACGGATTAATGACCTCTGTAACGAGGAACTCGAGAAAGTGTATACCTGTACGCAAAGTACAAACGGGACGAAAAAAGAGAATTATCAAATTTTATCACCGGCTGATCGGGTAGAAGCTGGGAAATACGCATCTCAACATTCTACGCCACACACATTAGCTTATTTCAAATGCAGAATTAATTTGAAGGCAGCCAATTAGGAAGTCACATGAATATATTTTTTGGTTAACGCAAAAAAAAAAATGTACTCCATGAAATTTGCTATCTGATAAAAAAAACCTACAAAAAATATCATACTATCATTCAAATGAATGTTGTGTGTTTATTATTTAATTTAACGATGAATAAATGCAACAGTAGTATACCACTGTTCAATAGTCATAAATCGATTAAGCAAAAACAAATCCGGGTCACAAACCAAAATTGAGGGAAACACATCAAGTATAAGAGGAAAACAACGGAATAACAGAAACACTGAACTGCTACATAAACAAACGCCAACATACATAGAAACGGGCTATTTGATAACAACTACCATATTACTGACTTAGAACAGGACATTTTAAGAAAAAATGGTGGGTTGAACCTGGTTGTATGGCTAGCCAAACCTCCCGCTTATATGTCAATGTTAAAAATACCGCTAAAATGACAACATTACATGACAGGAATACAGTACAAATAAACAAAAGGACACTCAGAACAGAGGAATGCTCAAAAAGATAATATAATAGAACTTTACAACATGTCAACCACAGAATAACAACGAACACCTTCCACGCACAGTACACCACAATAGACCATTACAAGAATATTTATATAGAATTATGTTATTAATAGTCTAATTAATTGTATTTTTTAACCATGTCGGTTTTTCTAATAAATGAAAACTGTGTAAAAACAAATAAATCCTGTGCATATAGTTGCTTTAATCTAAAAATCATATAAATTAACTAGTTGATTAATTATCTTAACTTTTACATACATATAGAAAATAAAAATAAAATTCAAACCACAAACGATAAGACATAACACAACATCGAACAAGACTTACAAAAGACACATCATAACTAAATACATGAATGTTGGATGTATAAATACCGAGAAGTGAAAAAAAAATATTTTTAACGTCGAACCGGTTTGTGTTATCATCGGCGCCATCTTGTTTACATTGGTTACCAATGTAGTTCAGTCAACGACGTCTATCGAACTATCGAAAAATAAATAACTTCAAGAGCCACTACTGGAAGCCCTCTCGACTAATCGTATTAACATATTCCCTAATATGCAAATCATATAAGAATTATTTGGTAAGGAATTAGATAATAAAGTACAATATTTAATGTTCAGTTCAGCATATAGTTTCGTATTGAAATGCAATAACATTTAATGGTGAACACTATCTCAGGCCAGACAAGGGTTATTTCAAGTTAGAGAGAGTTCAAGGATTCCATTTTCTTAATAGTAAGTTGTATCTTGAATGTATGATGGTAAATGAGGTCTTAAATGAAAGTCAAAAATTCTGATATTTTATCTGAAGGATGGTCATTGGCAGAATCTACTGGTCTATATAAAGAAGATAAACACATCCCGGCTTTGATTTTTCATGTTTTACACATTCAAATGTTTCTTCGTCTATATCACCCTCTTCAAACATGATTTTCAAGTCTGTGGTGACCTTATTGTTGAATTTAGGAGTTGTTCAGAGTCTTATTTCTTATTAAATATCTAATCAGAATATTGACGTTCTGCCGCGTGAATATAATTACATTTGTCCATGAAGACAACAGTGCTACCTTTATCTGCTGGTTTCATTATAAGCAACCGCACAGACGATACATTGTTGAATGTTTGGGAACATGCGGTAAACAGATGTGTTACGTCGGATTGAATTTTGCCAATAATCTATATTTATATATAAATTAAATCATATATATATTCTCAAGTGGCATATTTACTGGATTTAGGAATCCATGAACTTTTTATCTGAATCTTGGAATTTCGACATTTTTTTATTTTTCATACGAGTCGAGATCACTTATGTCCCCTTGAGTGTAAATTTTAATATTGTTCTTGTTAGAAAATTGTTCCTTGATTCTGAAAGATCTTGCTAATTTGTCATGGTCATCTTCCAATAGTAAATATATCAATTCGCGACGTGGGACAAAAAGCAAGGCCGTTTAACAAGACTTTAGCAACGGAAGACACTTTGACAACAGTGTTTGTAGAGCTTTTACAAATTTTCTTTATTCTCTTGAATCTGCAATTTCGGGATTTTTTTACCGGCTGTGTAGGTACGATTGGTAGTTGAAGTAATCTTCTGTCGTGTAATAGTGTCTAAAAGTTCGCTATCTCGTTTAACTTTTTAAAATGTTTTCATTTCCAACTCATTCGGTATTCAAGAGCTTGCAACTGCTACACAGACTTTGTAAAACGTCACCAGTGTCTGAGCAGAAAGTTGATGAACAAGGTTGATGTCAAAGAACGTCTCGTCCTTTTTCTAAAAAAGTTCATCGGAAGATACCAAGACCTTGTTGATAAATATTCCGTATCAACTTCAAAAATAATACACGTAGGTCTTGAAGTATAGATTCTAGGTACTGACGTTGTTTATCATCTTAATAACGTGTTATAGTATTCTTTTATTTGTCTTTGTAAATTATTACTTTTACTGTTTAGTCTATTTTTGGTAATATCCATTTGACGTGTCTCGGTAATTATATATCCCGTCATTGTGTTACAATGTATTGTGCTAAGGTAAATTTTTGTATTCTTGTCTTTCGTTTTTGCTAATGTGCTTTGACTATATGCCTTTTGTTTTCTTTGTTACATATTTGTTTGTTTTTGTAGTGATTAAGATTATAACACAATGTTGACTGCTGTACCCCCTTTTTTTTTTACATTTTTAAGTATTATGCCTGTTTGTTTTGTTCAAACATCGTTGTAAAAATACTGTGAAAGTACTTTTATTCGTGGGGAACCAATTTTCGTGGTTTTCGTGGGTGACCTTATCCACGAATTTTAGTGTCTAACGAAATATAACAACTGGAGTCCAAATCAAAACATGGAAAGATCCCCTTGTAAGCTTGACTGCCGGTATAATCTAGAGAATACATCGAAAATCGGCATGCTGATATCGGGTTAATGAGTGTCATCAGTACTGATTACACATGTGCAACAATTTAAATGGGGAGCAAGAAGGTGAACTGTGGTTTATTTGTATCAATAATACCGCTTAAGTCGACGCTAGGGGCCATCTTGACCTTGTTGTAGGGTATGAATGATTCGTTCATTGTTGAAGACACTACATCAACTGTCAAGATGAAGAACAGGAATAAAAGCCCTGTTCATTGATAATTTTCTATGTTTTCTATGTATTGTGTGCGATTTTGTCCCATGTACATTTACTCCATATCTTTTCATTTTCTATTACTTTGCATTTCCTTCAATCGAGAAAACTTGTAAGCATAGATCAGTCAGTTTCTTTCCGAAAGCAGTTATTTTATTTCATATTTGTTGAATGTTGTTAGTTTTTAAAGACGAACAATTAAGTGAAAATGAACACCTTATTTTGCAATGACCACAAATCATTATAAAATAACATAATGATGTGTATTATAAATAATCTTCGTTTCTGATGGTTTCAATTTTCACTCTATTTGGGTTTTTTCTTCTTTAGTAAACTATAATATACGAATTTAAAAACCCACGAACATTTAACTTTTGCTCAAACCACGAAAATTGATACCCACGAATTAAAGTACTTTCACAGTAATGGAATTTTATGCAACTGTCATAAAAGTCAGAGGTTTAGCTAGCTATAAAACCAGGTTTAATCCACAATTTTCTACAATATAGTCAGGAATATGACAGTTGTTATCCATTCGTTTGATGTTTTTGAACTTTTGATTTTGCCATTTTGTTTAGGGACTTTCCGTTTAGAATTTTCCTCGGAGTTCGGTATATTTGTTATTTTACTTTTTGATGTAATTTCCCTCGATTTCCGCGTTTTTATTGCTGTTCTTCATCTCAATGTCACAGTGAGGCCTTGTCACGGAACAAAAAAACGCTCATCTCACTGCAAATTTGAGAGGACACCTAGCACCGGCATCCTGTGTGCCTTATACTTTATGACTAACTAAACGTATGTGTATTCAAGTAATAAGGTATTCCTTTAATTCCCCGCCCCCACTCAATAAGTGCAACAATAGTTGTTCTATTATTATGAAGTGTTTCCAACAGACGCTTATTTATAAATATAAAACATCATTTTTTTGTCTTTTGTCATAAAAAATTAAATACTACTGACTTATGTCTTATTTTCCAGAATGTGACCTACCGAATTTGACTTATTACCTGGTTTGTAATTACATGAGCAACACAACGGGTGCCACATGTCGAGCAGGGTCTGCGTGAGCACCTGATATCACCCCTGTTTTTGGTTGGGTTCGTGTTGCTCAGTCTCTAGTTTTCTATTTAGGGTTTTGTGTGCTGTTTTCTGTCATTCGGTCTTTTTTTTGCCATGGTGTTCTCAATTTATTTTCGACTTATGAGTTTGAACGTCCTTTTGGTATCTTTCGGCTCATTTTTATTGTAGTCTTTTATGCACTTTAATATTATTTCATCCTTTTTTTATAACCTTAATTAAAATTGTTTTAAAAATGTGAAAACTCTGTTAATGACATTTACTTCTTAGTCAAGGGTTTTGCAACTTTTTTTGGAGTCGACGACATAGCGAAAAATAAAATAATGATAGAATGCTAAAAATTGATGCTAGATTTCGCCTGCCGGTAGGGCTGTTTATCAAAGTTGAATATCAGATTGTCTAGTCACCTCAGAAAAATCTAGTATAGTGGATGTACCTCTGTATAAAGGTTAGACAAGATAATACTGTTTCCAGTTCTTATTGAAATACATTTACCTGTAACTGACAGCATCAGACATAAAGGAATATAGTACGTCAAATGTGTATGTCGGTTCATCAAAGGTCCTGTAATGAAATAAAAAATAATAATTTAGTTTAGATATTCTATAAGGTGTGAATTTTTCGTTCTCTTTTTCAGTGATATATAGTTAGCGATGTAGTTGAAACTCAGTTTTTCATTTCGTATCCGTTTATAGTGGATATGTTCTTCTCTATTATTCGTTTATCTTAATAGCCTTAAAAAGTTGTAGAAGAATTGTAAGTGTCTTGTTAATAAGCTTCTCAAAAGAAATGGTAATGCAATAAATTGTTCGCCCATATATGATTCCTAACTGATATAGTAACGTACATTAGACAAAAATAATCAATAATATTTTGACTAAATCTTGTTATTTAATAAAGATTGGCTGGAAAAGCTTACGGACCCAAACATTTATTTTAAAGGACTTTCTGGGGTGGAGGCGTTGGGTAACTAGATGTAACACGACTGGTTGAAGCGGCTGGAGATGCCTACGATAGACAATAAGTAGACCTAGTCACTTACCTGTGAACACTCGCTTTAACTTCACTGGTACAATTAGACACAACTCCTATGCAGTAGTGAACAATTCAATTATTTAAGGATGTAAAACATGAAATTTTACAGCTAAGGCGTTAGTTGTCAGTTCCATGACTCTCACTGAAGTCAAACATACTTATTTGGCTAGGTTACAACTCCATGATAGAAACGGGGTTATAGAATAACCATTTAACAAACATATAATTACCACTTAAAGAAAAAAAAATAATATAGCGGATAAAAGACATATAAATAGGTAAAATAGAGGCGAAAGATACCAAAGAGACATTCAAACTCATAAGTGGAAAATGAACTGAAAACGTCATGGCTACAGACAAACAACAGTACACAAAACACAAAACACAACATAGAATACTAAAGACTGAGCAACACGAACCCCACCATAAATTGGGGGTGATCTCAGGTGCTCCGGAAAGGGAAAGCAGATCCAGCTTCACATGTGGCACCCGTCGTGTAAATCCTAAATAATTCATAAAAATAATTTGACAACAAGAACGCATTTACTTGAAAATATGCAATAACACATTTTCAAGGGGTTCTTATCTAGTTTGAAAGTGAATAAAAAGTATAATGACGTTCACATATGGAAAATGAACGGATTCAATATAAGAGAAATGAAAATTTATAGCCGAGGTTGTTTATCTGTGAAAGTCCGTAAATGTCCACAATGAACACAAAACCTTTTTAAATAGTTCAAAATAAAGATACACAATTTTCACACATTCAGCGCTATCATATAGCACTTTTTCCATTATTTTCAAAATACTATTTTTACAGTGGCATTTAAAACTCTTCATTCCAGTCGAACTAATTTGCAGAATTGAATTGACTTTTTGATTGCATTAATTGTTACTATTCCCGTACTGATTATGCATAGATTATTTGCAATAGACGATAAGAATAAAAAAGCAACCAATTGATCGATAAATAAGTGTATCACAAAATGATACTTATAACTGAATTGTTACACTTGTGGGACAAGGTGACCTGAAATTGCCTATTCTTTAGAAGCACATGCCTTCACGTTCGGTTTTTCGGAGGTCTTCGTGTTGTCCATTCTCGATTACTTTTGTCTATTTTTCAGCGTCTTCTTTTAACAAGAATTCCATATGTTGATCTCCAAACGATTGGTGAAGCCGCTCAGATAAAGAGGAAGCCTCAAAGACACTAGTTACGAACCAATCACATTCCACACACGAGGCGGGGAGGCTTGCAAGAGGCAGTCAAGAATAAATATTGAAGAAAATAGGACAATGAAGAAAATCGTTACCGTAGGGTTTTTTTTTCCAGTTTTTTTTAGTTATTTAGACATAATACAAACCTTGAGTAATGGAAATAATTATTTCAAAACTGTAAATAAATCCGTTTCACTAACAATCAAAATATCTTTAGCACGCTTAGGGGTGATATTGATTCAAACTAAACCCTATAAGTAAAGCGGCTAAAAGTAGATTTTATATCTTAAGGACTTTTCCCCTAACAGTTGGTAAATTTTCTTTGTGTTAAATGCCTTGACTGTAATAACAGCAGACGCAGTAACTATACGAGTGGCTTACTGATATAAAGTATTTGTACAACTGTAATTCAAATCCACGTAATGAGACAGTTGATTCCTGTTTTAACTTCAAGATGTATGGCAAACAAATATTGGGATAGGGGAACATATCTTAAACTTCTATCGATGTCATTAATAATCAAGAAATAATAGGTATGGTAAACGCAAAAACTGTAATCAACGTATTAAACATCGTATAAATTATACATCTGTTATCTATAATAAAAAATAATGGTCGACATCAAGTATTATGCAAACTGGGTCATGTAGCAATAAGTAAATTATATGCTATTTTTCAGGAGTGTGATAAAATTAAATTTTTAGTCCGTTTTATGAATACACCAGTATTATTACAGCCTTTTGTCATCACAGGCTGTTTCCTAGTATCGATAAACCTGAAAATCATAAACGGCATTTTCTTAAATTAAAATATAAATAGAGGTATTGATTTTATTAACTTATCTAGTATATTCAATGACTCTACCATCCATAGTCAAATACCTCCATATTTTGATAATACAGAACCACCTATTATTTCGTATTCTTATAAAAAAAAAACCAGCTGAAGTTTAATTTATAATTATACGTCAGTTACTTCAGACGTCAATATATAAAATAATGCTCCTTCCACTTGAAACTGTGAAACATCTAGTTTTAGATATGTTCCCTATGGTCATGTCATTACAGGAGACCTAAACATCGTCGAAGACCGTGAGGTCAAAACTTTTCTTAAGAAAGGACCTAAATATCGTCCTCCATCTATAATAGATTGGAAACAGTGTCGTCAGGTCATTAAATACACTGTGTCTGTCTACTGTAAAAATTGGTGTAAACGTGATAATTTCTGATAAAAAATCTCTAGACAGCTATTTGAATAAAATTATGAATACTGTTGATATTCGTATATCTCATTTTGAAAACAATTCTGAAATCAATAATATGGTCCATGATATACCCATTTCTAGAATAAAAAATAAACTCCAAGTACTCGCAAAGCGGTTTGTGTTCGTGCCGGCAGACAAAGCAGTCAATAATGTAGTGGTGTGACGCATATACTACACGGAAGTTCTACAAAACGAAATTATCAATTCGTCTACATTCAGGTCCGTACGCTCTACAGAGAGTCAAATTGTAAACAAGCATATCACTGCCACTATCCAGCTTTGAATAAGCCTCTTCCGAACATTTGAAAGTCCCGACTATGTACTGGTTACCTAAATTACACAAAAAAGCATTTGAATTCCATTTCATCTCCGCATCGAGTAAGTGTTCTATTACTAATCTGTCAGTGCTTCTAACTTTCTTTTGAAAAATCTCATTGCCAATTTTTTTGCTGTAACTCGTTTAAAGCCTTTTTCTGTAACGAGAAAGGAAATTATGCTAGATACACTTACTGGAAATATGGTGATGTGATTGAAGCTTGAAATTTTCTCCTGGACAACATATATGTACGTTTCGGCGATAAAGTGTATCGACAGATAGAAGGTATTCCTATGGGCACTAACTGCGACCCTTTAATAGTAGATTTATTCCTGTATCGCTATGAGTCTCAGTTTATGACCAAACTCAGTAAAGACACGTCATTGTTACATTTGGTTGATACATTCAACAATACCTACCGGTATCTTGATGATATTTTTTCTTTAAATAATCCAGAGTTCTCTAAATATACAACCGAAATTTACCCAAAGGAACTTACTTTAAATAAATCTAACATAAACAGCAGTAGTTGTCCTTTTTCTAGATTTAGACATTTCAATTTCTGAAGGGAAACTCCATGCTAAAATTTACGACAAAAGAGACGATTTTTCATTCCCTATTGTTAATTTTTCTTTTTTAGACGTCGATGTTCCTTTGGCTCCATAAACGGTGTTTATATATCCCAACTCGTTCGTTATGTCCGTGTGTGTGGTGATGTCATTGATTTTAACGAACGTAATGAATGTACCACTGGTAAATTATTAAGTCAGGGATTTCGTTACCATAAATTACTAAAAAAAAATTACTAAGTTCTTTCATAGATACAAAGATTTGATTAGTAAATTTGGCTGTACTTGTAGAAAACTTATTAAAAACGGTATTTCAATTCCTAAATTTGACGGTAATATTGTACTAAAAGCGCGGAAATCACTATGTGATCCGTGTAAACTCATTGAACCTTTAAACAAACTTATTAGTAACAGTTATCTTACCAATGTTGTAATTAGATCTTTGAATATAGTTTACATTGGCACAAATATCGATTTTGTCATCAGTAAATTTAAACATAACTAAATTTGTATTCTTTTGAAACGGATTTTTTGGGATGAATAAATACACATCCACGTTCATTTTCTATATAGAGATTACTCTATATATAACATTATACATATTTATTAAAAGGTTAACTCCTAACTATCCTACTGCCTGTCGATACTTTTATTTTGGCATTGCCCAAGTCATGTCTTCTTTGACTGTCCATGACGTTAAAACACTAAATCCCTGGGATGTGATTTAGTTGATTTTAGTCTCTGATGCATGATTTTTTATTATTAATTGTTTTTGGCTTTTAACTAGCTTTCAGTAGCTGCAAGTACTCTCAAATCGTATTTTCGTGTTAATTTGACCTGTTGATACAATTTGTAATGCATTTTTGTTATTTAATGTTTACCTATTTAGTGTTATATCTCGTCTCACTACTTTTAATATAATACCACCTTTGATAAGTGTTTGGTATGACGATAAATTTTCACTTCTGTCCTCGTACTATGAACAACAAAATTATTTATTTTGTATAAAAAATATTTCCGTACTTCATGTATACCTTACAACATAATTATTTTTATTTACCTGTGTACGTTATTTTGTTTGGCGGACGTTAAGCAACCAACAATCAATCAAATTTTTATTTGGCGGCATTTTATCCAAGGTTATGGTTGTCTTTCTGATATTGTTTTACATCTAACCCCCCTTGTTTTATTAATTTTGTGTTTACATTATGTCATAGATAAAATTTGTTCGTTCAGTGTATGTTCACTTGTTTTTTGTTAATATGTCTTTTGATTGAGTTAAGCCATTTCAATTGATATTTCATTGTGTGTCTTACTATGTTCTGATGTTACACTATTGTTTCAGGTGAGGGTGAAGGTTGGCGCCTATTAAAACGTTTAAACCCGTTGCATTTGTTTGTACTTGCCCAAAGTCAGGAACCTGATGTTCAGTGGTTGTCGTTTGTTGATGTGGTTAATAAGTGTTTCTCGTTTCTCGTTTTTATATAGATGAAACCGTTGGTTTTCCTGTTTGAATGGTTTTACACTAGTCATTTGTTGTGCCCTTTATAGCTTGCTGTTCGGTGTGAGCCAAGGCTCCGTGTTGAAGGCCATACTTTGACCTATAATGGTTTTTACCTTTACAAATTGTGATTTGGATGGAGAGTTGTCTCATTGGCACTCATACCATATCTTCTTATATCTAAGATTAAAAAATGTAAAAATGACCAACAAAGATAATTCAAAAGCGAGAAAAACTTACCGGTTTCATTCAAATCGAATTCTTCTGGAGAAGAGTTACTAGATGATAATACACCATACCTTTGAAAATGAAAAGTATTTCATTAATCCTATATAACAAGAGAATCCTTAGAGTCTGAATCACTCACTTGTCAAAATTCACATTATTTTGCTCATCATTTTGGGTGTTTAAAATTTCTAGGTATATATTATATAATAGTTTTTGTGATAAGAGTAAAACAACTTTAAAAAAAAAAACTTTTATTGCCGATTGTTTCGCTTTTTACAGTTGAGACCATGGTTAATTACTCGAAAAGAAGTCAAAAGCGTCATTTAAGGGTATAAAAGCCATCCAATGGTTCCAGTCATTCAGCATTTTAGTTTATCCTGTATTGCTGATCATTTTGCCACTTACAATGTTTACCTATCTATTATAATCGCGATACTGTAATAAGCAAATTAATTTTTGAGACCATGGTCAATAACTCAAAAAAAGTCAAAATCGTATTTTAAGGGCAATAACTCATTAAACAAATCCAATGGAATTCCTCGTTTGAGCGGTTATGTAGATCCTCTATTGCTGATCATTTTGCTATATCCAATTGTTCTACCTATGTTATATAATTTCGAGATTGTATCCAAAAACTCGAAAACTAGTCAAAATTCGTATGTTAAACTCATATTATGAGGCATTCAATAGTTTCGATAGTATTCTTTGTTGCTTGTTATTTTTTTTTTTTTGGTGGTGGGGGGCGGGGGGGGGGGGGGGGCTGTTTATGGTTTCTATGTATCTAATACAGTTTTCGAGAAAATAAAAGAAAAGCAAACAAAAACAGAAACTTCGTCAATGTAAAAAAGCGTCTTTCAAGGAAAACGGATATGAATACTTTAGTAAATCTAAGTAAAGGACCCGTTTTCGAGCATATATATATATACATATATTATATATTTTTAAGTACAATAAAGTTAACTGATAAATATCGTGGATATTGCAAGTGGATAAATTTACATTATAAGGATACCATAAATTACTAAAATAGCAATAGAACAGACCATTTCAACCACCACCAGCACAAAGGGCTAAACCTTTTATGTTATATACCATCCCCTTTTCCTAAAGCTATCTAGACCATATGTCATAGACAAAACGCAATGTTGACATCTTCAGACGTATACCCCATAACTTCCTTTGTTAATATTTATCATAACTCATATCAATAATGTGAAATCTTATTAAATTCCAATTTCCCGTAGTGTTTCGAATAATTCATTATATTACAAATAAACATATCCTTGATATTTCATATCAACGTAGTTCTTAGTGCTACCCTCGGGGATGACAAAACACCTTTTTGAAGGTAAAAAAAATGGGTGTTTGCAAACCCAAAAACAAGCAATTAACTTTACATCCAATTCCTCGAGTAGGGATAGTACCTCGCTCTTTGAGGGTTAAAGAACCATTAAAACAACTCTTTGAAATGTCAGAAAGTGTTAATTTTACATGGCAAAATTGCTGCCGCTTTGAAAAATATACTTCATGAATCTTCAATTTGGCGTCCCGACGACTGTAAGGAATAAGTAACAGTGTTTCTTTAAATATATTACTATCATTTTAAAAAAAAAGAGACACAAAAGGGATGTTCAAACTACTAGTAATAAGTCGAATACAAACTGACAATGCCATGGATAAAATAATAAACAACCAAAAAGACAAACACAGTCTACAAAACACAACATAGAAAAACTAAGGACTGAGCAGTACAAACCCCCACCAAAAACCGGGTGTGATCTAATGTGATGCGGAAGGGTAAGCAAATCCTGCAAATCTACAAAACCTGCGATACGTATAATTCGGAGAGTCACATTCGAGGAAACAAGGTCGAATTGTGGTTACGATAATTGGAACATATCTGTCATTTTTTTATAAAACAGATCAACATACTCGTGATGGCGTTCATAAAATTTTCGAAGGGATGATAATAACGGGGAGATAAATACTCCATATCCATCCGTTGCAGGAATGTTGCTACATAGCAATAGAAAGTTCACAATCGGAAAGCAGTCACAATACTTTTTGTCGTAATGGAAATATACTCTATATGCAGGTGTTGCTGGAAGGTTGCTACATAGAAATGGCAGTCATTATCCCTTTTGTCGTAATGGAAATGCCTATTGTTTGTTAAAAAACACTTCCTCTGAACGCAGCAAATATGTTGTCAATGAAGAAATGAAGCATCTTGTCAATTCCAGATAATTTTTATTTTGAATCAGAATGGTTATTTACAAACTACAGTTTATCCCTCCCTAAATCAAAATATTTTTTAATCTACATTGATTATTCTTTTTATGAAACAAAACAGCATTAATTCCTTCAATTTATCTTTTAGTTTAGAATGTGGAAGAAAAGTCTTATGTTTTTATACTATTGGAAGAGGAAAGAGACTTAGATTGTATGTAAGTATAATAGATCTTTTGAATTGTTTACAATCCACATCTGCTTCACATCGCCCCTAAAGTTCCACAATGACTCTAAAGCCCGACTTTGATTGCTGACAAAACTTATATTAATAATTTTAAAAGAAGTTTCGTAGAGCACGTATAAGACACACCAATATAACGTTGTTTTAAGTACACTTATGTAATTTAGGTATCCAATATGGTGAAAGACGATCCAGTAAAGATCGATGTAGCATGTGTTGTATTTATAGACCCATTAAGTTTTTAATTCTAATTTGTGTCAACGACGTCACAGTCTTAACCCATTAGAAAAGAGAATCTACATCTACTTTTTGCGTTTAACCAATTGCCTGTCATAATCCTCAACTGAATCCATCAGTTCTTTGAAGATGTGTTTCAAATTGATTGTTTTACGTGTATGATATTTTGGGTCTGTAAATAACATATTTTGAAGAGAATTGTTATTGACAATTTTCCGGTAACCAGGTATAACGTGGCCAGCCGGATTATATATGAAATGGGAACTAGCACAGGTGCAAACGGGAGTTTTAGACTTGACGTCGTCAATACTGAGATCCCGCAACACGTGTTTGTAATTGAAAATTTTAGTCGCAATTGGTTTGGTATAGGTATAATAGATGATGTGTACGGACTGATCTTTAAAGTAGGGAGCTATTTTGGAGTCAACTGATTTATGATGAATGACATCGGCATAGAGACTTTTAGCTGCAAAAAAAAAGTTTTATAAAGAATTTTTTTCTCATTGGCAATACCCGAGATGATACTTGTAAGTTTGTATTGATTAGAATGGGGATTGTCAACATCTGTTTCCAAACAAAAATATTTTTTCAGGGGTATTTTTTAAAGCTGCACGGGGATTTGATGAATACGGTTTCTGTTTTAATAAGATAATTTATAGAAACAAGATGGAGAGTAGGCGATGTATATTGACGATTAACATGACTGCGTCTACGTCGAGGATCGGAGTTGATAATATTCACCACATTCACAGAGCTACAAGAACGACTAGGTAGAATACCTAAACCGCCAAATTTGACATTACATTCATATGGTGTCGCATTATTTAATTTAGGCATCCAGTAGTCTTCCGTTTGTCTACGGAGAGGTGTGGCTGTTTGTTAGTCCTGTTGTATATTTTTTCGATTATCCAAACTGGCTTAGAAAGGATTAAATGATCTGACTGATGAAAATGCTGGTACACAATGTCATTTGCATTGTTTTTAATGTCTGATCCATGGCCGCAAATACGTTTGATAAGCCTTCCTGTCGTTTCACCGACATATGTCAATCCGCAAAGGTTACACTCTAAAAGAGCGTCGAAAGATACTAAAGGGACATTCAAAATCATAAGTCGAAAATAAACTGACAACGCCATGGCTAAAAAAGAAAAAGAACAAAAAACACAACATAGAAAACCAAAGACAAAAAACACGAACCCACCAAAAAATTGGGGAAATCTCAGGTGTTCCAGAAGGGTAAGCAGATCCTACTTCATACGGGGAACCCGTCGTGTTGCTCATGTTTGTACATACCTCGAAATAGGTCTAATTAGGCAAATCACATTAAGGGAAAAAGGGACATGATTGTAGTTACGACACTTGGAACATGTCCGCTGTCATCTGGAAAACGGATATTCCATAACGGTCAACCAGCTAGTGATGGCGTCCGTAAAATATACGAAAAAAGTAAAATAACAAAAATACCGAACTTCGAGGAAAATTCAAAACAGAAAGTCCCGAAGGGATGACTTCAACTTCACCACTTGGAACTCTTGGTTTAATAGCTTCGTTGTAAGCATCAACACTCTATCAAGAAAATCATGTTAGGAAATTCAAGCCCTGGAATATTGTACCAACTGGGAAATATATACTCCGTATGCAGGTGCTGCAGAAATGCCGAAATAGAAAGTTCACAATTGGGAAGCTGAAATCATCTCTTTTGTCGTAAAGTTTTGTTTTCAACCGATATATATATGTTGGACTCTAATCTATGGCGGGTTCCAGATCTATGGCAGATTCCTAATCTATGGTAAATACGACGTCATGCCATCCCAAATCTATGGTAGTTTTTTTTAGAATCCTAATCTATGGCAACTTTTTAGTTTCCTAATCTATGGCATTTTTTTTAGTTTTCTTATCTATGGCGGATTTCTAGATTTCAAATCTATGACAGATTTTCTGCAAAGGTCGGACCAGTCAGTACATATCTGACCACTGATTTCGAGGTCGAAATGTCCAAAGGTAGCAAAAGAGCTGCTTTTAAGTAAAAACCAGTATAAGAAAAACAAACTAGGACTATTACTAGGAAGCATATCCATAACCGTTTGTAAAATGAACACAGACTTTAGGGTTGAAATCATGTGCCCCGGAAGAATAATTATTTCCTGCTCTGTGCATAGTACCTGTTTGACGCTTTATTTAACCAAGTCCCTTAACAACACAAAAGTAGTTTGAATTTTTAACTAATATCTATTTGAGCGTTGAATAATATAAATCTTGTTGGACTGATGACGATTTAAGTCCTTTAACAAACAATGACTCGCCTCAAACACGTGACTCTCTAAAAAAAATCCTTATTTCTCCAACAGTACAGTTATTCGACAT